TTGTTGCTGTGAAAGNCGGAAATCATTGAAGGGAGATGCGGTGAGAGCTTACTTCGTCCACCGTAGTTTGCAGAGATTTCGTCCAATTGACATCCTCCGGCAAGTGTTTTCATTTGCTTTATTAGTTAAGTTTTCTTTTTAATGTTTGAAATATTTGTCATTGTGATATGTCTAGATATTCTTCGGAAGCCACTTGACACTAGTACGGCTACGGTCTGACTCAGTGACTGAGTCTTATTTACATCATAGAACTGTATGTCAGACTACTGACAGTAGGCTATACAGTTCTATGTTTACATTATTACTCCCATTTTGTCTATCTATGGCTGATTTTAAAGTAGGCCTAACTAACAAGTATAATTTTTGAATATGATTTTACAAAAAAAAATTTTCAGTTTAAAATTTTGTTTTCGGGGGAATTCTGTTTATTTCAATTCAGACCTAAATTCTGGGACAAATGGCATTCAACTAAAAATAATATTTTGAATATGCTTGGAAAAATAGACAAAAGTTCACTATGATAGAGTTCACTATCTCTCAAGTTTATGCCTTTTCCTTATCATGATAGGCTTAAATTCAAAATGTATTGAATTGATATAGATATTGGCCTAGAATCTTTCAAGATAGGATCACAGAAAATAGGCTATTCATTTAGATGAATACAGACATACATCTGTTAACATGCATACTTTTCTTTCTTCAGTTTTGTCTATAATAACAGGGCTTTTCTATGATTTTTAGAAAGAATTTTTACCTTTAGATTGTTTTAAAAAAACTTTATAGCATCTATTTCAATTATTTTTTGACTTTTTGAATAGGAATATTTTGACAAAACAAAACTGTAGGAAAAGCCCTGAATCTGAATTGTTTGGAAATCATTTTTGTTCTGTTCTGCTAGTTTCTTTTCTTTTTTTCATGTTATTCCTGTTAGACGTCTGGGTAAAGGCTGTAGTTAAAAATACAGGTAAATTTTTTTTTTTTTCCTAAATAGTTTTCTTAATAGCCATTGTGTTGATTACTGATTTTTTTACTGTACTACATGAGAAAATATGCATGGAAGAGCTCATTTGAGCATCGCCTTTCAGATGTGATGGTTGTATCTAAACAATGGCAAAAAAATTCAAACGTATTGTTTTTCTCATGCTCTCATTCTGTGAGTGGTATTGGGGTCATATGTTATGGACAGATGTACTTCTGGACATCCATTACCATAATGCTTTTTAACATGGTTGTGTTTGTGTATATTGAAAATTATTGCTGCTGAGAACACAAATGCTTGTGCAATGACATGTGCTTGTTCATTTTTACACGTAACCTTTTACTTATACCTATTTTATTTTTATGGTTACAGGCATACTTCCTTTGAGACATCAACGCATATTACGATATTGAGATCATACAGCGCTTAGTTGAAGTGGAATTACAGAAAACACAGATGTCTGAATGAAAATTGGAATGGTGCAAAATAATGTCCCAAATACACATTCAAAGATTAGAAATTCTAAGAATACCAGTTTACAATCCCTTATATTTATTGAATGAAAAATGACTTGATTGGTAATTATATCATTAGCCTGACAAATCTGGCCATACCAAGGTTCTCGGACATGATATATAGGATTATCATATATTACCAAAGGTAGGACCAGACATCAAAAATCCACTATCTTCAAATGACAAAATCTAAATTTATAAGAACTTTTGGTATCTATACAAAGTTGAACTTTAAGAGTCCATAAAGTCATTACTAGCTATTTTACAAACTTGTTTGGTACCCTGTATAGCACAGGGACTTAATAGAATATCTGGTAACTTTTTTATAGTTCAACTTTGTATGGATACCAAAGGTTTATAATTTTTGGCAACTCCATTAAAAGGTGACATTTGATGGCTTTCTCTACCAGTGATGATATCACACTAATACCAATATATTATATAAATTTGTAGGACCTGATTTGCCAGGCTTGATGATAATAAACTTTTTTTTTTATCTTGTAAATATGATGATTAACTATTTATTTACACAATATTCTGAGGTGCAATTTGTTAGAATCTATACACAAGTACATGTGTATGAAATGGACAGACTATGTTGCTGTAATACAATCCAATCAAATTGCTTGATACAATAATAGTGGCTATTGCAGTCGATGTAAAATTACAGTTTGTCATAGCTTGACATTGTGAACATGATTGACATTTTTCATTTGAGTACAGCTATTTCTAGCCAATTTAAAATGAATAAGCTTATTCATAGTAAAATTTGTCTAACACAGCTTTTTTAAAGTGATTATTATAAAACAAAGTTAATTTCTGTACCATACTTTGAATAAAAGTGTCATTCATGTTGATAGTTTTGAATTTCATATCTTTAAAGGTGTTAACAATGAAAATGCACTCTTGGCGTCCTGTACACCCTGAACTTGAAAATTATAGTCATGATTTTCTGAAAGATAATACTTTTGATTTGTCTCGCAAAATTTCAGATATGGCACAGTGTCTGTATTAGTGGACACTTCACCTCAATCACTTTATGATTATCCATCAATCCATCCAGTGAGGAAGCTAGAAACGGTCTACCTTTACAAACAAATGTTCCACATTGGTCGACTGTATCCTGTGTTTAACAAACTCGTCAATAGCAAATTTTTCAAACTTCTTTCCATAGATAAGAGGAGCAGCTTGTATGTCTTGGGAAGGTTCAGTCATTGACTTAAAAAGTTTTTCAAGGTTTGTTCTATCAGTTGCCTTACATATAGTGGGTACATTTCCAGCAGCACACTCACACTGGGATTCAGCTATAATGCCATCTATGTCAATGTGATACGAGACTTTCTTCTTCATTTCTGCATGACATTCGGATTTGAAAAAATATTAACCGTCAGTAGATGCTATTCTCAGAAGACGATTGGTATAAAGTTTCTATGAGTCGTCATCAAGTTTCTTTTGAAATTGTTCATGGTAACACAGGATTGATTCTAACTTCAGTTATGAAAATTTGGTATCAGTGTTAATGTCTTTGTAGAGATCATAATTAGGAATTTCCATTGAATATTCATTTTCCAATTCTTCATGTTCAATATCTTTATTTCTGTCAAAAAATTCAAGCCTAAAAAGTAAAACATAAAGATAATTTTTTCAAGAACTATTTAACCCCAGAAACTATTATAATAGGAAAATTGTAGGGCCCAGAACTACCATCCTACATGTATTGAACTACCCATTATCATCACAGGAGTTATCCTAAAATTTGAAAGGATTAAATTGAAATTGGAAAATGGTAAGGCCTAGAATCTAGATCAATCACACTACCGCCATCGATAGTCTACTACTACTAATCTAGTCACTAGCCCATTAGGCTAGTGCCTTATACAGGTAGACTACTTGATGTGTTTTTCTTAATCTGATTGTCTCAGATTATCAACACTTTTTCAATTATATTGTCTTTCATTTCACACTACGCAACTGCGAAGGAGTGGAACTGTCGAAGACACCTGACCACTTGTCATTTTTAACTTCTTTCGCTTTTTGACAGGACGTATTGATCTAAGCTCATCTAGTTAATAACGGATGCTTAAAATAATCAAAGAAACTTACGAACCTTTCGATTGAATCCCTCTTTCTTCCAGATACTTTTCCCACTCTAGATTTCAATTCCTTTCTCAGTTTAGTTATTTCCCGTAGATCATAATCACGCTTCGTCGATTTACATGATCAGCCATTGTTGCAGAACCGCGGGACCGCAATAGCCGTCGCGCCATCTACATCAAGGAACGACAACTCGCGAGTTTGGTTCCCCATTGATTGAACTTGTAAGGCGAGCATAAATTTCAAATGTTTTTTTCGCTAATGAAAACGGGCAGCGTAAAGCAGTGTGTAATAAAGAAATTTTTCCAAATGAACACGGGCAACGTCATATACAGTGCACTGAAAGTAATTTGGCTAAAGACGAATTGAACACGGATTACCATAAGATGCAATAGTGATAATAAATGCAATCTGATTACAGATTTGGAAGTTTCATCCTCAGGGGACTCCAGTTTCCACCCATGATCTGACGAAATTGTCTTGAATTTTAATTATTATTCAACCAATCAAATGTAATGTAATGTATATATTCTATATGTATATACATATATATTTGATATTTAAACAGAAACATGTTTTCACGCTATGCAATCTTAAAACAACTGACTTATATAATTCAGCTCTACAATTAATGTATTGATCACTATTTTAACAGTGAGAATTTTTATAGATATACAATAACAAGATAAGATAGCTTGCCAGGCAAGGTAATACACGCCCACTGTCAGCTTTGATTTTAAATAAATATTTGGCAGTATAGTACAGTATGAAATATTCAACCTTCAGACATACACTTCTTTTGAACGAATAATATTACCAAGTTTCATCAAAATCTGTCTAGAACTGGGCCTTCTAGAGAGTTTATAGGCTAAAACTTAAAAAAACTTGTTTTTAAGAACAAGGGCAATAACATTTTTCGATTTTTCTGATTTTCGTCAAGGTTCATCTTTGGGTGATTACATACACTCACACCTAGTTTGGTAAAAATCTGTCAATAATTAACCCTACAAAATCCATCAAGAATTGTGTCTTCTAGAGTGTTTACGCGCTACAAATTCATCGCATTTTCAAGAACAAGGGCAATTACTCATACCAATTATTTTTCAATTTTTCTGATTTTCGATAAGGTTTATCCTTAGGTGATTACAAACAACCATACTAACTTTCGTCGAAGAATTGTGCCTTGTAGAGTGTTTACGGGCAACTGTGGACAGACGGACCGACGGACAGACATGGGTGACGACAATATACGCCCCAATTTCATGAGGGCGTATAAAAATAGTCTTAAATACATCCAATTTTGTCTAAGAGATTCCCTAGGGAATTAGAACTAATTCTAAACCCTATAGTAAAACATTGACGATCCAACTCTTTTCATATATTAATTTTTAAATAAAATGTATTTTCCCTGATCATTGTGCTAGTAAAAAATATTTCGGTGTATTCATATGGAACCTATGCACCTTTTTCGATATATGAGTAGGATAGTGTTTTCCGAAATATGGATTGAACAAATTTGACTTGGGTGGAATATCGGGATTAGATGTAACAATGTCGTGGTCTTTAAAGTTGTTAACATCTCTTGGTATCTTGAATTTAGCCATTTGTAATTCAGTATCACTAAGACCACCGTGGGTGATTCTTGCGTAACCTAATCGAATCAGATTTCGGTAAAATATATATTCACAAAATCTCTTTTCATCGGTCTTATCGATGTCTTTCATCTCTCCAAAGTTAATGAATCTTTTGTAACTTTGACTATTAGGAGTTGAAGTGACATAGGCCATAAAAACTACTGGATTTTCAGCGGCTTTACATTCTTTGGCTAAATAGTCTGATTGAAGATTGCGATCCAGCTTATCCCTATCATTACCCATGTGACTAACAATAAAGTCTACCTCAAATCCTGTAATATTGATAGTAGCAGTTATAGCAGGGGCAAGCTCTCCGTGTGGTGAAGGAAGTAGGTGATGATGAGATTTAACAATTGGATATTTTGAAAGAATCAGATTCCCCCAGGTGTGGTCTCGGGTAGAAGGACCAAAATCTGAATACATCCCAAGATGTTCTCCGATCCATGAAGCAATATCATTATTTCCTAGAAACGGCTTTGAGGCATCACTCTCTAAAAGTGTTACCACGTCTGCCCCAGTTTCATTCAACAACTTTGATGCTCTTTCTAAACTTGGCCAGCCTTCATTATCATAGCCGAAATGATAAGTCCATATTGCTGATGAGAAAGTAGAGGTAGGTTTTACATTTGACATTTTCTTTGAAAATTGTGCTTGTCTGTATCCAATGCCGGCTGCACCAATGACTACGATAATGAACAGCCAAGCCGTGTAGAAATTGTAGTTTGATCCAATCAGATCTGATGGATTGTAAGATCTGTTATCAGCAACATAAACCAAAAAAATTGTGATTAGCACTATACAAATCAATATATCAGATCTCTCACGAGTGTACGTACCTCCTGGCACAAAATTAAACGCAACAGTCCATACTGAAAATAGAATTTCTGCAATGTATGTGGCCATGGTAACAACTGTTGTCCTTGCAGGTGGACATCTTGAATAATAGTTAATGAATTTTGGCCACAAAGAGGACAGAAACACTGCAAATAAAAGTCCGCTTCCCAGGCCTTTGAAAGTTGGAAAATAGTATAGACCAGAAAGCGAAGCTGCTCCAAACAAAAACCAATAGTAACTGTTAGTTATTCGTGGAATAAGAGAAATAAGTACTCCGGTAAAGATGGCTAATAAAATTGCAGCACCCCATGGGAGGGGGTTAGGACCAGAGTCTGGATATCCTTTAACAACCCATCTCGTTATCACAGATACTTCACCAAAACACCAATGAGTAGCAAACAACAAACTGCCAGTTCCTAGACCAATGCAAAACCAATTAGGACGGACAGTACTAGTAATAGCCATCTTCTTCTCTTGTTGCACATCACTGTTAAACAGATAATCTAATGTTGCTGCTACGCCTAGTGCTATGACAACACTATTGGTCATGTCAGACCACCATGTTGGAATAAATGTTGTAAACCAAATTCTTCCACTCAATAAAGCAAAATAACCAAAGATCAAACTTCGAAAATATGATTGACGTATAAATAAGTTTGGGTGGCAAAGGCATATGGCAAAGATGACCATGGAAACACCAGCCCCTGTCGCTAATATGATCAAGCGGCGGAGTGTTGTTGCAGCTTGAAATGAGGACAAACAACCCACAACGACCAACTTCAAAATCATTATCATCCATCTTGTTTGAAATAAACGCAGAACTTTTGGTATTCCACAAATTATAGGCATGAACCAAAATCCCGCGAAAGCTTCATATCCAGAAATTTCTAATTCATTTAATGGAAAAAACCATATCAATGGACTCAATGCTTGAAAAACACTCCAGAATATAAATCCATCTATGGTTTCTTGAATAAAAGATCTCATCTTGCATCAACCTATAAAAAAAAAGATCTATATTAGACAACTCGGGGAACAGCTCACAAAATTTGGTGGCAGTCTAAACTTCAAAGATAGTCTGCCAGGCAAGGTAATATACGCACACTTGCAGCTTTGATCTGAAATAAAAATATTTAGCAGTACAGTAACAATCACCAGTATGGAATATTCAACCTTCAGTCATACATTTCTTTTGAGGGGGGGAGGGGGGGGGGGTGGGGCGGGGGGGTGGGTATAATATTACCAAGTTTCGTCAAAATCTGTCAATATTACAGGCTAAAACTTGAACGCGTTTTTAAGAACAAGTGCAATAACTCATACCAAATATTTCCCGATTCTTCTGATTTTCGATAGGCTTCTTCCTTGGTTGACAACAAACAATCATACCAAGTTTCGTCAAAATCCATAAATGATTTTGCCTTCTAGAGTGTTTATGGGATAAAAATTGGACGCATTTTCAAGAACAAGGGCAATTACTCATACTTAATATTTTTCTTATTTTCAATAGGGTTCATCCTTGTGTGATAACAAACTTTCGTCAAAATCTGTCAATAATTTTACCTACTAGAAATGAAATGAATGAAGTTTTATGTCCTACTTTTCTGCACCATGTGGGCACCATGAAGACGGGCAACACCATGCAGGGTGCAATGAGGGAAATTTTGCCAGGACAGCGACATTAGCCTGCTCTTTTTCGATTTCCAACTGTCAAGGGATCTTTAGCGTACACAGCCTGTAGCACACAGGGCCTAGGTTTATTGTCCCATCCGAATGACTAGGCGCTTTTTCCATGTCGGCCTCTCTTACCTGCATCACTGACAGGGGAAAACCAGGTTGAAAAATCCGAAGGTATTATCTCGACCTATGCCGGGATTGAACCCTGGACTTTCAGGTTAGCGAGCAAGCGTCTAACTCACTGAGCCGTCGCGGCTCCTACTAGAGCGTTAATTGAACGCATTTTCAAGAACAAGGGCAATAAGTCTAATTACTAATTATTTTCGATGTTTTGATTTTCAATAAGGTTAATCCTTGGGTGATAGCAAACACACCAAGTTTCATAAAAAAAATCGTCAAGAATTGTTTACAAGCATTTCAAGAACAAGGGCAATAACTCATACTAAATATTTTTTGATTCTTCTGATTTTCAATAGGGTTTATCCTTGGGGGATTAGAAGAATTATACCTAGTTTTGTCAAGAATTGCGCCTTCTAGAGTTTTTATGAGCAATTGTGGACTGAAGGACATAGGTGAAGACAATAAACGCCCCCCCCATTTCATGTGGGAGTAAAAAAATGAAAGATGCATAAATGAATTAAAGATAGTTTGTTAGGCAAGGTAACTAAATCAATTTTAATAACCCAAATAAAACAAAATTATCAAAATCAGACTGCTGTCATGTCTTGAATTTTTAGAGATATTTTATAAGTCAAAGAAATACCTCAAAAACAGGTAATCAAATTATTATCACATTCAAACAAGAACAAGGCCTCATCAACATACACCTTATGATGCAGAAGCTAAAGGTGTCTATAATGTCTGTATCATAACTAACTTATACTACAAACCAGGGTATCCTTTCATAAAGCTTTTGTGATTTCACCTAAGTTGTCACACATATTTTAAGTATGTGATGTTTCACAAAATTCTCCTTAGTTTTTACATTTTAGATATCCAAAGGCTTTTTAATGGGAATTTACCCACAATATGGTATTTCACAAGGTTAGTATCATGTCTTACAACTCCTTCCACTTGACAGAAAATGGAGATGTTTTTAAAATGAATTGTATAAAGGATTTTGTTCATCGACTGCTCTAAAGCTTATGAATTTTAGCTTTATATTTGTTATTAGAATCAAGTTTATATGGCTCTATATTTAACATACCAGAAAGCCTATATGAAACTGTTAAAGGTAGAATAAAGTCTAATGATAAATTATCAACTAGTTTTAATGTATGGTAGAAAAAGCTGTATTTTAAGTTTCTGGCAGTTTATGTAATCGAATTGGTAGAGAAACTCAGATCATCTGATCTGATATAGACATTTGTTAACAATGTATAGAAGATAATTTTCTTTTAGCTGATGATCTGAGTTGCTAGCAGTCTCTGTTAATGAACTTAATGTTAATGAAATGTTAAATCAAAGCTATTTTATTTTTTAAAAAGGGAGATAACGTCCCAAAAGATGAGCACTGGTTTTAACAGGGATAACCTGTTAGCTATTAGAAGTAGTTAAGTATAATATTCTCCTGTAAAATCAAATGGAATGAATGTTGTAAATTCATAGCACAACAAACAACTAAAAAGCCCTTAATATGGTAAAACATTGTCTGGACATAGGAAATAGAGATGTGAATGCAGCATTCCAAATGTTTTATGTATTTTATTAAAATTAATATTAAAATTTTAGATATGTTGCAAACAAGATTCCCAAAACACTGCTACGATGTTGTTAAAGCTACAAGGCAATACTGGTTGTTGTCACTGGGTCAGTAATGTCAAAAGTTTTCTATTTAAATTAAACTCTGTTTTGTTAAATAAATGAGCGCTTAAAGATGTACTTCAACAAACATTAATGATGGATATTGATGTACAAAACACAAGCTTGTAAATTGGATGTTATAAATACAGATTTTATTCTCTGTTAGATATAGCATTAAGTGTAAAACCATATGAATTAGAGTTAAACATATAATTAAAGGGACAGGTGTGTCATTTTGGGGGTTGAATTCAGTCTTGAAAGTATGATTGGTCAAAAAACTGACCTACCTGTCCCTTTATGATCTTATGCCCCCTCTTAAATGTTCAACCCATGATCTTGAGGTTGAATTAGTGTGACAAAAATGACTTTGGTTTAAGTGATGGACTAGTACTCAAGGTCCTGAGATTATTTTAAAACTATGATCACCTGGTAACAAAACACATAATTTAGATTTCCTAGGTTAAAATATATTTTAAAGTAAGCTTACCTTTTACTAGTCAAATTCGTAGGAGGTAAGTACTAACCTAACCTAAATGTGCACCTGTTCAATATATATATATATATATATATATATATATATATATATATAGTAATATGTAGATCAATGACACTGTTAGAGATAGTTAATATTTACAGCCAACATGTTCCAATTCCATATTTTCAAAGCATAGCAACAATACAGTAAACAACCATATGTCATGATATTGTCTTAGGGAGATGTGTTATGATCAAAGAGTTAAAAATAGAACTTAATTCTTATTATATAACTCTATGGTTATGATGGACTTACATTAATGAAATGAAGAAAATAAACAAAATGTTTCACTTTAAAAGATTGTAAATATATCAAACTAAACCATTTAATTTAGGCTAGAGATTTCTCAATGAAATATTTCTCTTTTATCCCCATTAGTAAGCTGTTTTGCTTGGACATTTTGTAGAAAGGAAAGACCATAAAGTTGGTGGTTATACCATTTGCACATATCTATACATGGCCCAATTGTTTGACAAACTATCACTAACTCAATCTTAGCTTTGTTCAATTCACAAAATAGACTAGAGATATTGTGGGTACACTTGATATATGGATAGAGGCTATACTCTCAAATATCATATGATACTCTATAGATAGCTTAGATTGTATGATTGAATGGAGTAGCTTATCATGTTAGCCTTACCCTGAAAACTATGACTATAGTATATTCTATTTTAATAAAAATGAACCCTGATTGAAATATATCACAAGTCCCTGACTATTGACTTAACAAATTATTATCAAATATTAGCTATAAACATTAGAATTTTTTTTTAATCCTTTGGAAAAACTTAAAATAAATAAATTTTATGAAAAAAAAACAACCCCAAAAGTCTGTTGACCTAATTGATCAGTTTTATTTCAACTTTGTAAAGTTATGTATCTGGTTCCCCCAAAGGATTGCATAGTTAAGTCCAGACCTAGCTAAAATAAACTTTAAAGGTACCTTGCCAGGCAAAGATACATATGCCCAGTATATTTGGCAGTAGGAGTATATATTCAGTCATACACTTTTTTCAAACTTTTTGGGGTGGTAATGAACAATATTACCCAGTTTTGTCATCAAGCAAGAATTGTGCCTTATAAAGCAGTGGTTTTCAACCTGTTTTTGTATGTGTATGATCATATGAAAATATGAAATTTACTTTCTTCTAATGAAATGCATCATTAACAAGAGGTAACGGGTTTGAAAAATCACAAGGTATTATCTTTTCGTATGCTAGAATTATACCCTGGACCCTCAAGTTACTGAGCAAGGGTCTTACTCACTGAGCTGGCTCATGAATTTCAGAATAAGTTAAATACAAGTGTAGAATACAGGTTTAACCTCAGTAGTGATAGTTAGTATTACAAGAATAAGAAATGAAAATGGAATGAATGGAGTTTTACACCAATTTCTGCACCATGTGGGCTAGTGAAAACACACAGAACAGTGGCATTAGACTGCTCTTTTCCAATTTCCAACTGATACTGGCACAGTCTGTAGCAGACGGGGCCTCAGTTTTTTGTCCCATCCGAACAAATAAACATTTTTTCCTTGTCAGCCCATGTTACCTGCCTCAATGACCGCGGGAGACCGAGTTGAAAAAAAGAATTATCTCGACCAATATCGAGATTGAACCCTGGACTTTCAGGTTAACAAATGAAATGAATGCAGTTTGACATCCTATTTTTCTGCACCATATGGGCTAATGAATACAAGCAATGCAATTCAGGGTGCAATCAGGGAAATTTTGTCAACTGATGAGTAATCTTTAAACTAGCACAGAGGGCCTCGGTTTTTTGAAAAAACCTAAGGTATTATCTCGACATATGCTGGGATTGAACACTGGACCTTCAGGTTAGCGAGCAACAGGTCAGGTCTATCTCACTGAGCCACCGCGGTTCCCTACAAGAATATAAGAATAATAATAAGGATAATAATTGATCTGTAATTCTTTCTCACAGAAATCAATAAATCTATCAAATATTTAAC